AAAGCAGTATGGAAATTCCTGAGAAAACTTGGAATGGAAACACCATTTGACCAGTTATCCCACTCCTCTGTTTATGCCCAAAGGACTTAAAACCAGCATACTACAATGATGCAGCTACATCGATGTATATAGCATCTCAGTTCACAATAACCAAACTATGGGACTAACCTAGGTGCCCTTCAACAGATGAATGGATAAAGAATATGTGATATAAAAAATGTGATATATACTCAATGGGATATCACTCAGCCATAAAGAAGAATGACTTTATGACATTTACAAGTAAATGAATGGATCTAAAGACCATCATGTTAAATGAAATAAGCCAATCCCCAAAAACCAAAGGTGGAATATTTTCATTGATAGTGGAATCTAAACCATATTAAGAGGTTGGGGGAGGAAGAGTAGTTCAGTTAATTAGACAAAGGGGAATAAAGGGAAGGAAGAGAACATGAATAGGAAAGGCAGTGAGATGAATCTGACACATTTTTTCTATGTACATATGAAAAAAACCTAAACAAATCACACCATCATGTACATCCACAAGAATAGAGTCCTAGTTAGAATAAGATATAAATATGCACATATAATTTTATAAAAACAGAGTCTACTGTCATTTATAGAAGAAACAATAAAATAGAGAGAAAGAAAGAAAGAAAGAAAGACAAACTGATATATAGAAAGAGGTTAAGTAATTTGTCCAAAGTCAGTTACTAAGGGATGAAGGGATGAAGGGAAGCCCAGGCAACCTTGTTTCAACCCAGCCTATATTATTCTGCTAAAATAAAATATAAATTTAAAATATATGTTTTTAAAAACCTCAAAAAAAGAGAATATTTCTCCATAGAATAGTTAAGAAACTAGGCTTTGAGTAGTCAAAGATTGGTCATGGTTCAGCAATCAGTCTGAGGTAGAGCAAAATATATGGTCTATCTCTCTAGATTCTTGTGCTGGAGTTGTTCCACTAACCATTGACACATTGCCTTAAATTCTCTGGGCTTTAGCTACATGAACTGTACATTCATATGCATATTTTTTTAGAGAGAGAGAGAGAGAGAGAGAGAGAGAGAGAGAGAGAGAGAGAGAGAATTTTTTTTAATATTTATTTTTTAGTTTTCAGCAGACACAACATCTTTGTTTTTGTCTGTGGTGCTGAGGATCGAACCCAGGCCACATGCATGCCAGGCAAGCGCGCTACCGCTTGAGCCACATCCCAGCCCAAATATGAATATTAATAGGCAAGCTCTTCTTGATCTTTTTTGCCTAAATGTCTATTTCTACTATTGTATTGAAAGCCAGGTTTCTAGAAACTTCCACTGTGAAGGCCATCAATTTTCAAAGAATTGACTTGGATTACTAGAATCAGCATGATTGGGAGAAAGTTCTGGCACAATGAAATATTACTCAGCCATAAATAAGAATGACTCTTCTTAGAGAAGAACATTAAGGTGATGTGCCTGTAAGTGTGTAAAAGAAATGACTAAATTATTTTAATCAGTGATTCCTATTCCTGTCTCCAGGTGAACTCTTTTAACTTTCAGTGTAAGTTTTGCAAATGATTTTGAAATGCTTTAAATCAAATTCTTTAAATGCTACTACTTAAAATAGAGATTTGGGGTAGCACAACCATGCTCCTATAGCTTTGACACATATCTTGCAATTCAATGTGTCTGGACTGGAACATGCCAACTTTAGGAAAAGGAAGGACTTCACTCTCATACTTCACAAAACCAGATGTGAGTATATTTTTTTTTGACAGCTGTGGATTTTTTTTAAATAGAAAGTCACAGAAATTCAGATGACTATCATGAGAGTAAAATTTGACTGCAACTGTATCCTTTATTAACTGTGTTCTTTAATTCTTTATTGGCCATAAAAATTTTTAGTTTCATGAATTTGTTTAGTTGCTTTTTGAGATCTCCTCTCCCTTCCCTTCCCCTCCCCTCTCTTTCCTCTTCTCTCCTTTCCCAGTCCTGGAGTTTCATGTACATAGGCTCAAAAGAGATACGTGCTATAGGCCAAACCATTATAGGCAACAGAAAAGCAGATTTCTCAAGGCATCCGTGACGTTGTTAAAATATAAAAATGAAAACAATACTACAAGAATGCTCTCAGCAAAGACCTAAATGCTCAGTATAAGGCTAAGTTAAAGAGAGTACCAAGTCCGACAGATTTCCTCTTAAACCATGACTCTCATACTCATTTGCCATATATCTTAAATGAATTATTCCAGGTTTTCCTTTATCTGTAAAATGGGGATAATGATACCTTTTGGAATTATAAGGAGGAAATGAAGTTTGTATGTAAACCGCCTCATATATCTACCTTAATAAATGGCTTTCATAATAAGTACTCAATAAGTGGCTTTAATAATAAAGACATTGAGAAGGTCTGTCAGAAGGTACTCATAACATTATTTTTCTAATTGAGAATTTAATTCATCTTTGTTTTATTTCCAATTTTATTAATATAAGGATCTAGGGATAAGATCTTTATAGGGCTAAGAACTTTTGTATGGTATCTGATATAAAGCATATTTATTATAATCACTTTTTAGAAATGTCTTAATTTAAGATTGATTTCCTACTTTCACCAAATGGTTGTTTAATGTAAAAAGTTTTGATATTTCCAGATGTACAGACCTTTTGATTTGGGGCTTTTGTTATTAATTTATAATTTTATCGAATTCTGAGTTGAGCGTTTGTCTTATTTCAGCTTTATCAGTGACCTTTTAAGGACCAATGCTCAGTTTTAGTGGATTTTGAATCTATTATCTACTGTGTCTTTAAGAAGATATATTCTTTATTTATTCACAGTGTGTGTACGGGGGTGGGGGCTGGATGTCTTTTGGCTTTTCTGTGTACCCTGAAAACTGTAGTAAGAATTATAGAAATCAAACTGAATTTGCTGAATTCTCCGTGGATGATGGTCTCTCTGTTAATGGTGGAGCATTATCACCAAACACAAGACGGGTATGAGCCAACTGACAGCAGTACTCAAAATATTGTGAACTGCAATCACCTTTAGCACGGGGTAGTTGATCATGATGTTCCAAGAATTGAACGAGATGGGTGGTGTTCTAAAGCTTACGTTTTCTGTGTGAGTGAAAAAGTCCTCAGCATGATAAACAGAAGATTGACTTGAATCACTTTATAGGGAGTGAAAGCTTCTCAACCAATTTCCAGACTGGAGTCAATTCACAGACCTAGAGCCTGTTTAATAGATAAATGCTGAGTCCTCTTTACTATAAGTAAGAATCCTTAATTTATACTGTTAATCTTCCTGCCATCCTTCCTAAATAGACCTGTGACCATTTGTTAGATGATTATACATTACTGAGAGTGTAACAATCAGACTGCTTGGTGACGAGTGGACCGTGGATTTTGCTCACATAAATTCTAGAGACACAGAACTCTCTCTGGGTCTCCAAGGGAGCTTAGGGATTTAGGAAGAATATGTTTTCAATGGAATTTTGTCTTAGGTTTGTCTCACGTTGGACTCATTGCGTCCCTGAACTTATACTGTGGTTATTCCCAAGGTTCCAGTAGGAATAATTGAAGTTGATATACTCACAAAGTGGCAGAATTCCCACATGAGGAATTCTGACAGTTGGAGTAGGAACTATTATGGTAGGCAAGACCAAGTGGAAGCCAGTAGAACTACCACTGGTGATGGTTAATTTCAGATGTTAACCTGTGTGGGTGGGCCACAGTGATCAGATATTTACATACATTATTCTGGATGTTGTTTTGGCATGAGATTAACATTTAAATCAGTGAACTCTCAGTAAAGCTTGAGTTTCCCTGAAGATTTTGGATTTGCTAAGCTTCCATAATAATGTGAACCAATTCCTTAAAATCTCTTTCTCTTTCTGTTGAGAAATATATATCCATTCCTCAATTTATGATGATATTACATCCTAAAAGAAACATTATAAATTGAAAATATTGTAATTCAAAAATTCATTCAATACATCTAGCCTACTGAACATCATAGCTCAGCAACACAGCATACTCTATAGAGTATTCCTTGTTTGCCCTTTTGATCATGTAGCTGATTTGGAGCTGTGGCTTTCTGTCACTGCCTAGCATCAGGAAAAGATCAAAATTCAAAGTTTGTTGTATGATTTCTACCAAATACATATCACTTTTGCACTATCATAAAGTTGAAAAAATCATAAGTTGAACCATTTTATATTAGAACTTGTCTCTCTATGTGTATATGTGTTTGTTTCTCAGTCATCCTTTGTTACTCACAGAGAGCTGATTCCAGGACCCCTCAGATACCCAAATCTGCAGATGCTCAAGTCCCTTTGATAAAATAGTGTGTTTTTCCATAAAATCGAAACAATTCTTTCATATACTTTCAATCGCTATCTAAATTACCTATGATACTTAATATAATGTAAATGCTTTGTAAATAGTTGTTAAATGGTATTGTTTAGGGAATAATGACAAATAAAAACAGTTGTGCATGTTCAGTATAGAAACAGTTCACAACCACCGTAAGCCTAACTGCAGTTTATGATCTGTAGTTGGTTGAATCTGCAGACGCAGAACTCACAGATATGGAGGGCTCACGGCATACACTGTATACACACACATCTTATGAAGTCTGTTTCTTTGGAGAATCCATTATCTGTACCTTCTAATATAGTTAAATGAAAGCATTATCACATTCCTGAAAGTATAGATTGGTGCCAATATCCAGGCCTTGAAAGATGTTCCCATCACTTTTCATTCAACTTGCCTATTGGCCTGTGCAGAAGATAGATGGAAGTCACAAACAGCAGATTATTCTAAGGTTCATAAGGTAAGGACTCCAATTGTAATTGCTTATCCAGATTTTTTTTCCTATATCATATCAACATATCTCCTGATATTTAATATGGAATTTTGGTATCTGGCAAATACTTTGTGGTACCTGCTGGTAAAGACTATCGGAGGCTGTTTGCTTTTCGCTGGCAGAACCAAACTTGCATCTTCAATGTCTTGCTCCAGATCTGTATCAACTCTCCAGCTCTGTGTCAGCACATGGCCTGCATATTTGAAGTAACATATATCTCACTGGGGTGAACTACTGACTCTTTCACCAAGTAACTGAAAAATGAAAAGTTTTATCCACAGTAAGTGAAGACTGTAACAGTCCTTGTCTTCTGTGACACTCATGGCATATTATCCTAGTAAAATGCAGTGGTGTGTGAAGTGTCTATGGCAGTTAGAAATGCTATGTAGAACCTTTAGCATGTCTTTAAAAGTGAATCAGCAAAGACCAATAGAATTTTGGACACAGTATTGTATCCTCTGCATATACCTAATCTTTTCTTGAGAGACACCTGCAAGCCTAAGAAATGAGTGAATGCTTGGTTATTTACCTGAATAGAACAAAAATTAAGTTATCCCACTATGAACTATCCATAAATTGGGTATGCACAGCTTCTATCCACCATCAAATAGAAGTGGCATATATACAAAATGTGGCTTGAGTAAGTCTTGAAGTTGTCGGGAAATTGCATAAGCAAGTGGCCTCGATGCCCGTGATCTTACAACAGGCTACCTTGTCTCCTCTCCCTGTTTCTACTTGAGTCTGATTAAGACATCCTTCAGCTACAGTCCTCAATCCCTTTCTGAAGTCTCCCTGAAGGACAGATAATAAATATTTTTGTTTATTCTGACTGGAGGGAGAAACACTTCAAGAAACAATTCAAACTAGTTTATGTTTGATGTCCAGGGACCAATTAGAACATTGGTGAGAAGGAGATAACGGGAAAAATATGTGGGTTGTCTACTCTCACTAGGCAAGTAATGTGATTAATATTCTAGGTCCCATGGGAGTGTTCATCAAAGATAAATCTCAATCAAGTACAGAATTACCAGTCTTATTAGATATATAGCCAAGCCCAATCTGTGGACAGAGTTGGGCTATTGAGATCCATGTTTTTTCTTGTCTAATAGGTTCATTCACAAAATATTTATGACTCAAGAATGTGCTTGTATATGGACCTCTACTGAATTCATCCAGTCTGAAAACTATGACATTCTCCATCTTTATAATTTTACCAGTGAATGAAAATTAAACAAATGGAGTCATATAGTATGTAAGCATTGAAGTTGCCTTTTTATCATATGACTGTGCAATTCATCTACATTTTTCTGTGTGTTGATAGTTTCTTTCTATGTTTGTATTTCATGGTATGTTTCTATATTCATTGCCTTTGAAGGATATTTAGTTTGATTCCAGTTTGAGACTCTTATAAGTACAGCTACAATTTATGTATAGGTATTTGTGTGAAATTTTTATCATAAATGCTCAGGAATGTGAGTGCTGGGTCATGTGGTGGGTTAATTTTATATTTAAATTTGAATGGACCACTGAGTGCTCAAATATCTAGATGTTTCTGTGAGTGTGTTTTTGGAGGAGTTTAAAATTTAAATTAGTAGACTGAGTTAAGCAGATTGCCCTCTTTAATTCAGTGAGCCTTATCCAATTAGTTGCAGTCCTGAATAGAACAAAAATGCTGACCTTCCCTTGAGTAACAGAGATTTTCTTCTGCCTGACTTATTTTGAACTGGATATTGGTTTTTACCTACTTTCAAACTCAAACTGAAATGTCAGCTCTTCCTGGGTTTGGAATCTGCCAGTCTTTAGATGGGAACTATAGTATCAGTTTTCCTGGGTCTTCTGCTTGCTCACTTGTCTAGATCATTGTAGTTGTCAGCCTGCTTCATCATGTAGGCCAGTTTCTCAATCAATCTCTCTATAACTCTGTAACTGTAATTATATAATTTGCCAGGAGAACCTTCACACATATAGAAAATGTATATTTAACTTTTAAAAACCTGATAGAATGATTTCCAGAGTGATTATTCTATTTAACTATACTATAATTATGAGAGACCCAGTTTCTGTGAATCCTTTTTGGAATTTAGTACTATTAATATTTTTTATTTTCATGTATCTAATAGATGTGTTATAGGAACTTTTAATATTTTAAATCCCTGATGAGTAATGATGTTGAATATCTTTTTCCTTTTTTTTTTTTTTTTTTGGTACCAGGCTTGAACTCAGGGGCACTCAACCACTGAGCCACATCCCCAGCCCTATTTTTGTATTTTATTTAGAGACAGGGTCTCATTAAGTTGCTTAGCACCTCCCTTTTGCTGAAGCTGGCTTTGAACTTGGGATCCTCCTGCCTCAGCCTCCCAAGTGGCTGGGATTATAGGCATGCACCATTATGCCTGGCCTGAACATCTTTTTGTGTATTTATTTTCCATGTGGCTGGGATTATAGGCATGCACCATTATGCTTGGCCTGAACATCTTTTTATGTACTTATTTTCCATGTGTCTGTGAAGTCTCTATTCCATTCCTTGGATCATTTTCTGATTGAACTGTTTATTTTCTTTTTGCTTAGAGAGTTCTTTATATTTCCTACATGTGAGTCTTTTATTGGATAGATTTTTAACTTTAGAAGTTGATTTTTATCCTTTTTTTTTAAAAAAAAAGAGAGAGAGAAAATTTTAATATTTATTTTTTAGTTTTTAGTGGACACAACATCTTTATTTTTATGTGGTGCTGAGGATCGAACCCAGTACCCTGTGCATGCCAGGTGAGCATGCTACCTCTTTTTTTTTTTAAAGAGAGAGAGAGAGAGAGAGAGAGAGAGAGAGAGAGAGAGAGAGAGAGAGAAAGAATGAATGAATATTTTAATATTTATCCATTTATTTTTTTAGTTTTTGACGGACACAACATCTTTGTATGTGGTGCTGAGGATCGAACCTGGGCCGCACGCATGCCAGACGAGCGCGCTACCGCTTGAGCCATATCCCCAGCCCTGATTTTTATCCTTTTAACATGAATTTTCATAGAGCAAAAGTTTTTATTTTTGATAAAATCATATTTTTCAAAATTTTCTTTGGGATTGTGTTTTGGGTATCATGTCTAAGAACACTTTTGATCATGAAGATTTTCCCCTCTCTTATGAAAGTTTTGTAATTTTATATTTAGCTATATGATCAGATATTGTGATCCATTTGATATAAAGTGAAGGGTTTCATATGATTTTTTTTTTGCCTAAGGCTGTCTAATTGCACTATCAATATTTCTAGTAAAGACTATGCTTCCTTCATTGAATTAATTTGAAAATTAAAAAAAATAAGTTGGTTACTTTTGTGAATCTATATCTGGATTTTCTATTTATTCTATCAATCTAGATGTCTATCCTCCTACCAAAACCTATTAATTATTTTTGAGTCTTCTTCAGGACTTCATCTATTGAATAGATTGGATATTCTTCATTTCACTGTGAAATCTATCACTTTCTGATATTTTTAACTGCTTTCTTTTTTGTCTGATTTTAAAAATTGGATTATAAATTTAAAAATATAATTATGTATATGTATAGAATTTCAAAATGATATGCCATATGATATGACCAATGTGGAATGATTAAATCAAGCTAATTAATACCTATCACTTCAAATGCTGGAGTATTTTTTTTAGGGGGGTGAGAATATTTGAAATTTATCCTTAGCAAATTTGAAATATACAACACACTGTGCAATAGATTTCAAAATTGTATTCCCCCCAACTGAAACTTTTTACCTTTTGACTAACATCATCCCATACCTCCTCCATCCTAGTCTATGATAACCAACATTCTACCCTCCACTGCTTTGAGTCTGATTGTTTTAGATTCTACATGTAAATGTGATTGTGCAATATTTATATCACATTATAATAATGTCCTCTAGGTTTATCCATGTTGTTGCATATGAAAGAATTTCTTGCTTTCCTAAAGCTTGATAGTACTCCATTTTGTAAATGTATTCATCCATTGATAGACCCTTAGGATGATTCTATATCTTGGCTATTGTCAATACTTACTGCAGTGATCATGGGAGTACTGATTTCTCTTTGACATAATGATTTTATGTCCCTTGGTCACATACCCAAAAGTTAGATTGGTAATTCTTGTTAGTTGTGGAGTAGGCTAAAGAAATGTTAGCTGAACACTCCACCCCATCTGTCTGGTTCCTTATTGCTGTTTGCCTTAAGTCTGAACACTCAGCCCCACTCAAGGCTGAACACTCGACCTCCACCCCTCTGGTGCAAAGGAGACCTACATCTAGCCCCTGCCTGATCTGAGGGCAGAAGATGACAACCTTAGCAACTACTGTATGATCCAATCACTGTATGCCAGCCAACAAGGCAGCTTGCAGACCCAAAGACCCCATTCGATTTTGGCTATAAAAACTCTCTCCTACTGGGGGCCCCTCTTGTGCTCTCTCTCTCTCTCTCTCTCTCTCTCTCTTTTTCCTGTCTCTCTTTCCCTCTCTCTCACTTTGCATTCTCTCTTTCTTCTCTCTTCCCCCCTCTCTTTCTCACTTTGCCCTCTCTCTCTCACTTTTGCTCTCTCTTTCCTGCTCTCTCTCGAGCTTTGCTCTTTCCTTCCCTCTCTCTCTTTCCTCTCTCTCTCTCTCTCTCTCTCTCTCTCTCTTTCTCTCTCTTCCTTCCTTCCCTGTCAATTAGACACTGCTGCAATAAAAATCTCTTGGTTGTTCTGAGTGTCTTGGTCACTTTCCTTTCAATTCTATTTTTAGTTTTTTGAGGAACCTCCATACAATTTTCCAAAAGGGTTCTATAAATTTACATTCCTCTTCAATAGTGTACAGTTTTATTTTTCTCCATAACTTTATTAGACTGTTAACATTTTCTGTTTTTTCATGATTCAGTGTTGGTAGATTGTAAGTGTTCTGGAACTTAATGATTTTTTTTTAAGTTGTCAAATTAATTGGCATATGATTGTTCATAGTGCTCTCTTAAGATCTTTTGTATTTTTGTGATATTAGTTGTTATGTTTCCTCTTTCATTTCTGATTTATTTGAGGCTTTTTTTTATTTTTTAGTCTACTTAAATGTTCATCAGTTTTGTTAATCTTTTCAGAGAACCAACTCTTAGTTTCATTGATCTTTTATATTGTTTTTGTAGTTTTATTCTATTTACTTTATTTCTTTCCTTTCACTAACTTTGGTTCTGGTTTTTTGTATGTGGTGTAATATTAGGTTGTTTGCTTGAGGCTTTTTTTTTGATATAGATATTTATGGCTATAAATTTTCCTTTTAGTTTTCCATTCCTTCACTTTCAGTCCCTTAAAAATGAGATGAATATCTGCTATTGAAAATGAAATGAATCTCTTGCAGGCAGCATAGGTCTTGTTATTTTCTTTTTTCTTATTTAGCCACTGTGTATTTTTATTGAAGAATTTAATTCACTTATATTCGAGGTTATTATTAGGGAAACACTTACTAATGTCACTCTTCTATAATTTGTTTTCTTATTTTAAAAGATACTTTGTTTCTTCCTCCCTTGCTGTCTTCCTTTATGTCTTGATCATTTTTGTAGTAGTGTGCTTAGAATCTTTTTATTCTTGTTTTGTGAATAGATTATCCATTTTTGCTATGTGGTTACCACAAGGTTAACATAAAATGTCATATTCTTATTACAGGCTATTTCAAGCTGATAGCAACTTAAGTTTGGACACATACAACTCCACACTCACCCGCACCCATTTCCTGTCTCTAATGTCAAAATCAGTATATCTTTTTATAATTTTATCTCTTAACAATTTATATTACCTGTGGTTGTTTTAGTTAATTTTTGTCTTTTAGTTCTCATCATAGAGATAAACTTATTTGTTATTTGTTTATTATTTTGGTCCCAAGTATTGAACCCAGGGGCACTTAACCACTGAGCCACATCCCCAGCCCTTTTCTATTTTATATAGAGACAGGGTCTTGCTGAGTTGCTTAGGGCCTCATTAATTTGCTGAGGCTGGTATTGAACTCATGATCCTCCTGCCTCAGCCTCCCAAACTTCTGGGATCATAGGGGGTACAACTCTCTTAATCTAATCATCTCACTGCTGAATATTCTTGATTGTCTCACACATGAACTTTTGGGGGCCACCTCATATCCAAACCATAATGCTGACTTTTCATAATACTTGTGCTCTTGCATTGGTGTTTGTGCATGTGAGGAAACAGTTACTTCTTTTGGCCTTTACAGATATTATTTGGTAAGATTAGACCTTTACTAC